TCAAAACTCTTAAATCATTGGGCCAAACACAGTGAGAAGCAATTCAATCAGTCTGAGTTGTCAGCTTCTCCACCGGCCATTGATCACCTTACTCCCTGAGCCATCTCCATGGATCCCCCTTCACGCACAAAAATCGAACGTGAGATCATACTTTCAAACTTGAATAAGGCTGCAGTGGCAGATGTAATTCCTCAAGCCCTTTTCAAATTCGGCGGACGTGCTTTTGTACATGATTTACGCGAGTTACTAGTGAAACTGTGGGAGCAAGAAACTGTCCCCATTTTTAATAGACGCTCCCGTTCGGAATGCGGCAATCATAGAGGGATTAGTCTGTTCTCAATTGTCACTAAATTGCTTGCGTCTGTCAAGCTCCACAGACTGAATGGCACTCGTGAGTCCGATTCGCAGGAGCAAGCCGGGTTTCGTCATAATCGAGGCCGCATCGAACACATCTTCACTTTGCGTCAATTGTTGGAGCACCGTCACATATATTGACGGCCCACCGTAGTCGTGTTTCTCGACATCAAAGGTGCTTTCGATTCGGTTGATCGATGTGCCCTTTGAGACTGTCTACTCAGGAAAGGTGTTCCCGATAAATATGTAAATATTATCCGAGCATTATACACGCGTAGCACGATCAGAGTGAGGGCAAGCTGTCGCCGCCCTTCTATATCTCCAGTGGTGTGAGACAATAATGCCCGCTGTCACCTTTCCTCTTCAACTTCCCTATCAACGAAGTCATTTAATTCGCGTTTACAGGACACGACTTAGGAAGTGTGGACTTGCTCCCAGGCCAACGACTTCTTGACTCGGAATATGCTGACGATATTGCCCTAATCTGTGACACTTCCCAAACGTGCCAAGCGGCACTGGACGGATTAGTACTGGCTGTCCATCACTTCGGGCTTTGCTTCGTGCAAAGCATTCCTCCAAGATTGGTCTGAACCGCCTCCTACACTGACCCTTGGAGGGGATCAGCTAGAAGTCGTTCGAAAATTCTACTGCCTGGGAAGTTGTATCAGCGCTCTTGGGATCGAAGACACGATCACGAACCGTATAGCACAAGCTCGAGGCGCTTTTACTAGCCTTCGCTACCTGTGGCACTGGCGCGACATCACTTTCTCCCTGAAAGGTAGAGTGTCCAATGTAACCGTCGGTTTAATTCCCCTTTTCAGCTGTGAAACCTAGCCCATTAGATCAGCAAACATAAGGAGGCTAGTTACGTTCGACTACTGGTGCCTTCGCCGCTTGGCTTGCATCGGGTGGGAATAGCGCGTGCGCAATGAGCGTGTTCGACACCTCCTTTACGGCGCAAGAAGAACGAGTGAACCGCTCAGTACCGTTATTTCACGCACCAGGCTCCCATAGCTGGGCCACGTGTTGCGCATGCCAGCCCACCGATTCCCGCGATGTGCGTTGTTTGCGCACCCGGGGTCTGGATGAAAGCGGAGGGGAGATCAAACGATCATTTGATCAAGTGGAATGGAAACCCTCACTTCGAAGTTGGCGTCGGTTGGTATGTCCTGACTGCTGGGCTGGGGCCCGAAGGATGATGAACATGTTTGGTTGAAAACGCTGACATAGTTCAGAGCCTCCCGCATTGGCGTTTGTGCTGTTTGTGTGTTCATCTCCCTCTCATTTAGATTTCTTCTCTAATCACGATCTCATAGCCAATTAGTACTATCATGCTTGACATATTACTTGCTTTTTAAATTTTTTAGTTTGATTTTTAGTATGTTATCTTTTTGTATTGCGGCATATCAGCGGAGGCATGTTTCTCACCCTCAGTTAACGTGTATTGGTGATGAGTATCTTCTAGACCCTCGGTCACTATCCTGTGCGATATGTTAGGCTTCGTCCTTTTTATCTTACTGATGTGTAGTGAGAATTTTGGTATAATTCTGATACTTCATCATGGTCACTCTCCATCAGTGGGCTTTGGTAGGGGTCCGCTGGGAGGCGCATCACTGACGAGACCCGGAAGTTCGAAACGCCGGCGTCTGGTGCTTTTCCAGACTAGCGTGAGGCTGGTGATGAGGAGTGATCGTGAAGTACCTGAATTCGTCTTTTTTATCCCAAGTATACCATTGACCGAGTTTGGTGACTGAGAAGTTATCCGATCCTTCGTTCAGGTAAGCCTACCAGGATACCCTGCGTACTACACGTTCATTCTCTTACACTGTGGATATGGAGATTCAGCGGAATACTGTCCCGTGCACGACACAGGAGCCTATGTTTGTGGCACTATCAATCGTCACTGTAACAGTCACTAGATAACTGAGAGGTCGATGAACCTGTTTTAATTCAGAAGAAAACTCTTGACTGGCTTCCAGCACAATGTAACCAGATGGACTACTACACGCGCGCTAAAGCAGAGTCTGTGTGCTGACAAGGCAGCTAGCTTTATCAGTAAGGATCAATAAATGGGGGGCGTGGGAGGAGTAGGTATTTACCCCACGCTCTTCCAAATGGTCGGGATCACTTATCCCAGGATCAAAAATGTCAGTGCGACAATCAGGGACAACGCAGATACCCTGATTTGCTAATGGGCGCACCATCGTGCTCGTTGGACGGAGCATTTTCGATAGCAATTTAGTCGGCCTCTTGCTCCAAGACCCCTCCCCACTCAGGTGTTGTAGGCTTAGCCATGGCGGATTAATTTAGTGGCTCCATCGGAGGCTGAGGTCCGAAACGCAATCGCAGCCCTCACCCGTTTTTTAGCTGCTCGTCTGGGTTTCCTTGAACCCACACTATTTAGTGGTGGTGGTGAGGTCCTCTGCAAAGCACTAACCTCCATGTTCGAACAGGTCTAGAAGGAAGACCATCTAGCTAACTAGTGTGTCGATCACAATAGCAGTATACACGAATTGCAGTTCTACTGACTGCTAACTACTGGGGCATTGTCCTAACGCCGGTAGTGACAAAATTGATAGCCTTAATTCACGTTCTTCGCCTCACTGCGAAGCGGGAATCCCGGATTAGGGAAGAGCAGGCAGGTTTCCGCCCATGAAGGGTTGTATGGACCACATATTTGATCTGCGGCAAGTGCTATAACAGTGCTGCACATAGATAAAACACAATAGCCTCTTTGGTTTCAAGTATGCGTTCAACTCGGTCGGTCGATCGATCCATTATGTTCGAAATACTTGCACAGAAAGGTGTGCCTATGAAATATGTGAATATTTTACGTGCCCTGTACTCTAACACCACAGGCCGCGTCAGTGCCCACGGTGACTCATCGGATATCTTTCCGACAATAATTGGTGTTCACCGGCGTTATGCAATTTCCCCATCACCATGCAGTGTTCTCTTGCAAATCTCACGATCCTGGCGTTGAAGTGCTGCGTTATGGAAAGCTAGTTTATCTTGATTATGTGGACGATATTGTCTTGATGTTTAACGGTGTTGAGGTAGCCCTGTCAGTCCTGCATAACCTCTCTAGAGTGATCCCATCGTTTAGCATCCGCTTCGCGCCTTCAAAAGGTAGTGTTGTTACAAGACTACCGGCCATTTAATGATCCTTCGACTCTTGATAGCGAGGAGCTCGAGGTAGTTGGTCAATTCACTTTAGCATCTGCATCAGCAACGATAGGCGCATAACCGTTGAATTCAGTTCGCGTATTGCAAAGCTAGATCTACCCGCTTGCATCTGGAACATATGTGGCTTCAGAAGAGGGCATCCTTCGGTATGAAAGGCCGTGCATACAAGGCCGCAGTGAAGTTTGTCTTACTATGTGGGAGTAGGACTTGGTCCGTTCGCTTTGATGATCCGAGGCGCCCTCATATTTTTGACCATCGCTACCTGCAAAGCATTGCTGGTGTCGGTTGGCACCGGCGAGTTCGCAGCGTTAATTTACCTAAGTGAGTGCTAGGCAGTAACATCCACGCTAATTCCTTAGGACAACAGATAACACTGGTTAAGTTGTGTTGGCTTAAGCACACACTTTGTACGTTCGGTCACGGATTACCGAGGGGAGCTTTGTTTTGTTTGCCGGATGTAGAGTCGCGCAAGACTCGAGGTGGGTAGTTAACTTGGTTGCGGGAAATGAAAACATTAGTGACCAAACTGGAAGATGTTAGTCCGTCTCGCCTTCCAGAACGAAGCTCACTCGACCCACCTTGTGCTTGGCTTGAGACGGCACGCAGTCAGCACTGATGGTGCGCTTTCTATCGTCTCTTAGTCGGGTTTTCTTTTCTAAGAGTTGGTTGATGAGTTATCCGCGGAGTAATGGCTGATCATGCCGCGGGGTACTGAAAGTCTCAATGATGCTGTCTCGCCGATACCCCCTTAGCTTTACACGATAACCAACTGTTTGTGACGGTATGTTGTTGACAAGACAGGCGCTTTAAATCTGAATATTTGCTTGAGATTTTACACTAGGCCCCTCTTCTCTCCCCTTTAGTATTCTACGTTCTGTAGGCCATTGTGCTTGTACGACAGTGAAGCATCAGTTCAAATGTCTGATGTTTTCGTCATTTTTGACATTCTGTAGAAGAATGCTTCGTACTGCTGTTACCTTCCCGTAATTCAGCATCCCAATTTAAACTTCACTTTCTGTTCATCTTGCTTGTAGTTTTACTCGATATTCTAACCCTGTTGCTTCTCCCTTCTATTTTTGTCTTTTACTGTTTGCGGTTTTACTTTTTTCTTTCATGTGACGATCTGTTTTCCACTGTCACAGAAGTGGTTGTGTCCGTGAATATCGATTTGACGAAATCACTCTTAGCTACTTCCGACTGATAATGCACGACTGACATTGTTGGCCGGTCCACGCTGTGCCAGTGTGGAATAGGAGAAGCGAACGCAATTTACCAGGCGGGCGGGCTGGCTTTACATGAGACACCGGATGCCACCACGCAGCCCCGTGGCTACAAACTTGTAGCACACTGCGTCGAAAGAAGACATCTTACAGTTCTAACCTTTTTCTTATCAATTATTACCTCATTTTCTCGCTTGAATTCCTCTTTTGTTAACACAGAATTATTTTCGTTTATTTTAGGACCAATCGAGACCATGCCAGATTACAATAGACTCCGAGATCAGACTTGGTGGCTTCGTCTGTAGGACTTCCTCTCAAGACACTTTCCAAACCAATGTAGCCTAAATAATCATTGGTGAAAAAGCACTCTCTTCATGGAATATACTCCCTTTTCGATGATATCTGTGTAAAGCCGTTTGTGAACTTTGTTCATGACAATACACTAATTTTACTCTGCTTTTCTGTTCACTTTTATTGGAATGGGTCTCATTTGTTTGATGTTGCACTCCAAAATCCTTTTTGTGGTTATCGGCCATATGACAGATATCGATATGTAGAACTATTACCAATAAACATGGCATCCCCCGCACTTCTTGGATGATCAGTTTAGCGATCCTCTTCTTCTGGCGTCATTTTCACGAAACAACGTGTTTCTCGTGTTGTTCTCCGTAAAATTCACAGCAAGTCCTTCGATTCCGAACACTGGTCTTCCTCTAGCTCCGCATGAATACTCCATTAGCAAGCTTGATTTCATGGCCTTAAGCCATGGTGCTTGTACGGCAGGAGAGTGCCAGTTCAACTGACTGAAATATTGCTGTTGATGGCGGCTGTGTTTTGGAAGTTGCACGCCACTGGTCAAAGGTTCGATTCCTTGAGGGGACCGAAGGAATTCGTGTTTCAAGGGGGCGGGACGGCCGTCTGGTAGTTGCCCTGCCCGACTTGTAAGCTAATTGTAATGGAGGTAATAATACGATCGCTTTTTTCAACATGTTTTACATCCCTTATAGTCGGTTTTTCAATCTCGTCTCCTTTTACGTAAAAACAAAAATCACACTCTTAATATGAGCACAGCTTTGATTTCACCCGGAGTGGCTTTAATTGTTTATGTACAAGATCTACTCGCGCATCACTCTGTCGTTTCCCTTCGATATTAACTGTAGTTTATACTTCGCCTACGCGATCTGAGTTCGAGCTGTAGGTGTCAAATATTTTGTTCACCTGGGATGTTGATCCCCACATAACGTTGTCTTATCTGTTCTGAAGTGGCCACCGCGGCGGTTGCAGAGAGTCGAGTTATACCAATGAAAACTTAAGAATACAACTTTGCTAAGATCTGCCTTCGATGGTTATTGTTAGGCGTTCACACAAATAAGATTAAGGCAATATAGTAGATTATGAGTAACTGGGTTGTGACAATTTGGAGAGTTCCGTGTTCAGTTTTGGATCACCCGCTGTGTGTTTCAACCTTTCATTTTGCGCCCCCTACTTACTTTTAAGTGAACCCAGGTCATTCTGATCATTGGGATCATATCTGAAGTGGAGACATTTTCGATGTTATTCGCTCCCAGCACTGGTATCGCACGACCGATCTTTGTTTGAGCTTTTCAGGTAACGATAACCGGAACAGTAATGGAATTCCCGAACAGCCTGTAAATTCCTCGCATCTATAACTACTTGTCAATGGGTCTAGTTGGCGAAATATTATTCGCACACGCAAATTGCTTATCATATATAGCACATCACGTTTACAGTCTGACATCGCTGTTCCTTTGCTTTATACTTATCAAATTATGCTCAGATGTGCAAGAACGATGTCTCTTTTTGCGTCGGTGGAGCTTGTGCTTTTTCCACTACTTTGTTATATCCGTTGAGTCTATTTGCACAATTTCTGTTTCGGTGTTGTCATCACTCTTGCGCCTTAAAACCCATGCACTGCGCGACTACTCCCCACGGTCAAGTGCATACAGGGGTTGATACATTTGGGTTTTAACTTGCCTATTGGACCCATGATTGACATGTCCTGACTCGTCGCAACCGATGTCAACACCTCCGTTACCTATTCTGGGTGACTGCTAAGCGTTGCTAGACGGATGGGATGTTCGCTTTTCGCAAGAGTTCTAGGTTCAAACAAAGGACTAGTCGTGGATTTGGCTATGATTCTTTAATCATCTCTTGGGCATTCGACATGTCCTTTTCGCTGGATACTGTACGTTCGGAGCGCGAAGAATTGGTATCCGTCCTATTTTGAGCATGGTGAGTTCTCCCTTGTATTGACTGGTCCAGTGGATGGTGGAACAGCTACTGTCTGAATACTGGTGCGCACTTACCGTGTAAGATCTACTTTCGATTTATCTAGGGGAGATACGGCCTTAATCTTGTTACCAAGAAGACAGTGTCATTCGATGTTTGCGAATGTCCCACTACTATTAACGGCGGACTACGCAAGCTACCTACTTCTGCGGGTGTACACACTTATAATGTCTTGAACTTTTACATAGGTGCACTTTAAGCGTTCGTTTCGCCGTCAGTTATGCAGTGGGCCGTCTTTTTGACAGCATGGCTGTGAAATTTCCCATGTTGCATTTTCTGGTCTTTTTGATTATGCCAAAACCAACCCGCACTGCATAGGGAACACGCCTCGATGATTCCGAACTATTCGCACTATGTTGGTAATATCTCTGTAGTCTGCAATTTGGTAGTTACAGAAGTTTAACGCTGTTTATGCGGATCTTCGATTTACTTGTGAACACCAGTCCGGAAGTCAACTTCCTCTTAAATGTGGGCGTCATTGGGCACTGACGGATATTACAGAAGAAAGGCGCACTGAAAGGATAGTTGAATTGGGCAGTGTGACAACAGCACATACCACTGGAGTGCGAACTTTGCTCCTGTCGATCTCTGGCCCCGTAAAACTTGACCTGTTTGTTCACTGAACACCGTTAGCGACGAATCGCAGACTCGTTAGCATCTTAGACTGTGAGTGGCGGATAAATTCATCCGGAAACCTTCGAGAGAGCGCGAACGGCGATCTACTGGTGGCAGTGTTCCCAAGAAGGAGTTGTTCATGTGTTGTATACTACGTGAGTTCGCTCATGCCCTTAGTGCCATCTCGAAGCATAGGTGACAATGGTGAGGAATATATGCTTCGTGACTCGCTTCTGAATAGTATACTAAAACCAAGCTTTCCTTATCAAGCGTTTGAAGGCAAACAACCCTCTCACAGACCTTGAGTGCTGGTACTCGTGCTCCTATGCTGCAGGATATGTGAATCGAAAGACATGATGGACATCCCATATAATTTGTGAGCATAATCGATGCGGTTTTGCTAAGGTGCTGTGAGGTCTCTCTCAACACCTATATCTTGTCGCACAACATCCGAAAGCAACAATAGTTGTCCACTCTCTCTCAGGACACTTTCCACATGGATCCTGAAATAGTTTGCTACACACTGGAAATCATATACATCGGTCAACTCAGGCCGGAATAACGCATACGAACGCTCCATGTGCTCTCCATCCTGGCACGTGACCAACAGCTGGGGTTATTTGGCCGTTTAATTGTTATCTTAGTGTGCTTCGCACCAGCTGGTTTAAGATCTCTATTGTTTCTTCTTTTTTTGTTTCCCTAGTGCTCGCCTGATATATTTATTCAGCTGTTTAGTTAAATATGGCACTAATCAACGCATAACAACCTTTGGCATTTACTGCCTGCTATCCTTCATGTGTAAACGTATGAGTTGTAGAGTGCTTTCTCAGATTTATTCGTTCAACTCTCGCTTGCGGCTTTAGCTTTCTCGCCAGTCTTTTAAAACAGGCATTCTCAACCTTTATTCAACCATGCCCCCTTTTGAACCTTTCCATTTCTCATGCCTCCCCACCCTTGATCACCACAATTTCAGCAATCCGCAACGCCTAACAGACGCAAATCGCTGACTTCCAGTGGCCATATCTTTTGTTATTATGGCTAAA